GGTGAGCTAAGAAAATGTTTATCTCCCTGAGCTTGGCCTTCATAATTCTATTCCATCACAAAGAATCAAACAAAGATGGAAGGAGTACACTGATATTCTGTACAGTACAGATGTCAATATCCAAGATACTTTATAAGATACTTCTTATTTACAAGTACCTCTATTAGAAAATGAAGTTAGATCAGTATTCCAGTCATTACCAAGTTGGAGGGCACAGGAATTGATGGATTGATGGATGCTTAGGATCATCCAGTATAGATCAGAGCCTTACCTGAAAAGGGAGATGCCAGAAGTTCAAGCTGATTTTAGAAAAGGCCAAGGAACAACAGATATTATTGCTGATGTACATTGAATAATTGAGAAAAATTAAGAATAGCAAAAGTCAATAAGTGCTTCACGGATTATAGAAAGGCCTTCGATTGTATCAAGCATGTCAAGCTGTGGAATGTCATTAGGAAAACAGGAATCCCACAGTATCTCATTGTCCTCGTGCAAAACCTATGCACAGGAGAGGAAGCCACAATCCAGATAGAACATAGCAAAACAGACTGGCTCCAAGTCAGTAAAGGAGTAAGACAAGGCTGTATACTCTTTCCTTACTTATTCAACCTTTATGCTGAATATATATTGAGGAGGCTGGATTGGAAGAAAATGGCTATGGTTTTAAATTGGAGGAAGATAACCTCCAGTTGATAGCAGTGTCATCAGTAGTGACTGATAGCTGAAAATTGAAATAATCTGCAAGCTATGGTAATGAAAGTCAATAAGAACAGTGAAAAAAATGGGACTAAGATTAAATATAAAGAAGACCTAACTAATGACAACAGATGTAGCAACTAGCCTTAGGATCAACATAGTTATGGATAACTCCTGCCTTGTAGTATCAACCGTCAACAATAAAGGAACCAGCAGTCCAGACATACACTACAGTAGCCACAAAGACATTGGAAAAGGAATTCAGTGTGTGTTCCTAATCTTTGTAGGTACAGACTACACGCTATCACACACGCAATAGTTTTCCTTGTAGCACTTTATGGAAGTGAAAGCATTGAAGAAGCAGGATGGAAAAACTATTGATGCTTTTAAAGTGTGATGGTGGGGAAGGTTGAGAATGCCATGGATAGCCAAGAAAGCAAACAGATATAGAACAAATCAATCCAGAGTTCTCATTCCAGGCACACTTGATCAAGCTCAAATTATATTTTTGACACATGATATGAAGACCTAATCTACAATGTGGAAAAGGTGGAAGGAGAGAGAAGAAGATGGGTGGACTCAATTATAGCAGCTATGAGTACATCATTAGAAAGCCTCATGGTCAAGGTTGGCAACAGATCTATGTGAGAAGGTGAAGGTCTATCTATGTGGTTCCTAACAATCAGCACAAACTTGATGATACATCACATAATAAAATCATTCATTAGTCTGCTTGAATTTAATTTGATCTAATGACATTATGGCTACATTTTCATTCTATGTTATCCCATGGTAAGTAAATATTATAAAAACACTGCACCAACTGCCTTTCCTGAGCAGTGCAGCTATAAAACCTCTCTGTGGTTCAAGAATAAGCATGTCATATGACTACTACTTCCACCTTAACCTAAAACATGCCACAAAGTCCTACTATGGTTGATGCAACCCAAAACAGTAGATGTACAAAGACACTCACCTTGAAACAAACCATGGATGAGTTTAGCTACCGTACTGTGTAAAGGAGTAGATACAGTTACAACAACCATGCATACACACACATACAGAAAAATCTGGGAGCAGTTCAGCCATACAGGCCTGAAAAAGATTGTTTAACAATCTGAAAAGAAGCACTTCATACATGCACCCATACTTTCAAATGTACAGCTCTATTCTGCAGTGAGGATGGTAAACTCATGACAAGACACTGTCAGAGTAAGATGCAAGATTTAAAAATTACAGTGTAATCTGGTAGCCAGTTATGTATTTTTCATCTTCAGGAGAAAAAAAATCTAGTATTATTTATTATAAATCTCCATGATATTTAGCTTTTCATTCTCTAGGTTTAAGAAGGGATATACCATAATTCCCAGCATCAGCCAGTCAGTACTTAAATTTTTTAGGACACAACTAACATTAGAGAGAAACATTATAAACTAGCATGTTATACCATAATTAGTGTTTTGCAATGTTACAAATTGGTACTTTTTACTTTATAAGTCACTTTTACCTTCTCCAGTTCTCTGGATTATCACATGAACATGAATTTACCTATCCCCAAAGTGAGTGAAATAAACTTTCCTTAAAAAAACAAAAACAACAACAAAAAAAAAAACATAGCTCTAGGTTTAAGAAGGGATATACCATAATTCCCACAACAACAAAAAAAAAAACATAGCTCTAGGTTTAAGAAGGGATATACCATAATTCCCTCTCCAGTTCTCTGGATTATCACATGAACATGAATTTACCTATCCCCAAAGTGAGTGAAATAAACTTTCCTTAAAAAAACAAAAACAACAACAAAAAAAAACATAGAAGCACTTCTACATGCATACAACGCTTTTGTGAGCTCTGGCTTTCACACAGGCTGGCCTGCTTTCATAAAAGAGACAAAGCTCCCTCTGTTTACATCAAAAGAGAACCAGAAACGTCCTATTCTAATCTACCTGTATAATAGGTTTCTCATTCAAAAGCACAGTACTTGCTGGAATTAAGCTTCTTCCTAATAAAACTTAATAATCAGGGCTCTGAGCAACTTGTTCTTTGGAATAATTATTTCCAGTCATGGTTGCCACAGGAGAAGTGACACCTTTTAATTAATGCTGCTGCAAAACTTTCTACTGAGCCAGCACTAAGGTAACCTCATCTCCTGGGAACATTACCCCAGTCTGCATGATACAACATCAAGCAGAGCCCAACTATTTTACAGGAACAGAACATGTCACAGAACTTAAAATGTAAACTCTCAGCACAAAAATCAGCACAAATCAAACTATCAAAGCCCTCTTGTTCATGGGGGTAAAATCTCTTACCTTTAGTAGCAATTCGAACACACTGAGTTTTGGTCTCCTGTTTAAAAAAAAATAAAGAAAAATACCTTTAGTCCAATTTATTAGTACCACCAGTATATCATCTTGGCAAATTCTAAAACAGTACTTTAACTCATGCTGCCATTGTGTACAAATTATCATTTACAAGTTGAAGAAGACATGAACAGTAAATTTTAAACGTAAATGCAGAGGCAAAATGAGATTGCATCAATCTATATTTTTTCCAAGAAGTACTACTGGATCTTGCAAGTTGCTGGCATATTCAGGGAACGGGTTCCAGGTAAACAAAAGAGCATCTGGCTAATCTCTGTACATATTGATTCTGAGTGCATAATCTCAGCAGCAAGAAAATCCCACACTCTTCTTAACCACTAAAGAATGGTCAAGTCAGCTTTTTAAACTAACCCAAGTCTTAGCTTTTTTTTTTTTTTTTTTGCTTTTTTTGTGCCTTCAAGTCAGTTTTGACTCTGGGCGACTGGCTGGACTAGTCCCTGCAGTTTTCTTGGCAAGATTTTCAGACGTGGTTTGCCCTTGCCCGCTTCCTAGGGCTGAGAGAGAATGACTGGCTGAAGGTCACCCAGCTAGCTTCGTGCCTAAGGCGGGACTAGAACTCACCGTCTCCTGGTTTCTAGCCTGTTTTTAATCACTACACCAGATGGGCTCTCCTTAGCTGTTTATAGTAATGAAATACAAGGATACTATGAT